TCCGTGTAGAGGATAAACAAATGCGCCTAAGAATTTTGAAGCGCCACTTCTGGCACATTGCCGACGTACCCCTGGTTGTTCATGAATGGACACCAGACACAGAAGCATCCAAGCCAGATCTCACAGCGATACCTTTATGGTTTGACCTCAAAGGCGTTCCTGGACGCCTGTTCTCTCATGACGGCCTCACGTTTTTTGGCGATACCATAGGGGAAACAGTCAAGCTGCACCCGAACACAGGGACATGCACTCAACTTGATGTTGCTCGTCTACTTGTTGTCCTCAATCTCGAGAAACCGCTGCCAGATAAAATTAACATCAGAGGTATTGATACAATGATATATGTTACCTACCTGTGGCTCCCACAGCGTTGCGCTGGATGTCAAAAGTGGGGTCACCTGTTGAAGGACTGCAAACAAGTTAACCTGGGAACCCAGGATCAGAGAAAGAAAGGATCATGGCAGCTCAGAGTGATAAAGAAGCTAACGTGGATCTGAACATTACAGAAGCGAGCAATAGTGTTGTTCCATCTCATGGTCAGGAGGAGGAACACTCTCTACAAAAAAGTGCAGTGCCGACTGATGAAAATGAGAAGGATACTAATGAAGAAGAGTGGAAGTGTGTAGGAGACTCGCAGAAAGCCTCACCAAAGCGTTTTATGAAGCAGAGCAATAATCAAAGTAAAACTGCATGTTTTCCATCTCGCTTCCATCTATTAAGTGAGGTTGAGCAAGATGATGTCGAGGAAGGCGAGGTTGAGGCCAGTAGTAACGACGAAGTGGAAGCAGAACCCTCTGTGACAGACACGCCTAAGGAAGATCCTATGGAAGGCCCTAAGACTCAAAAGAGTTCAATGGCTAAGAAAGACAAAAACAAGAGCAGAGTGGTAGAGCCACAGCTTGTGAAACAGAATGACAAGAAGAGTGCCAAGCCAACAAAAACCAAAAATGCCTCCTCCCGGAGGCACTAATATGATGACATCGTTATTTGCGTGGAACACCCGGGGCTTCAACAAAAAGCGCAAACATTTATATCTTCGTTCTTGGTTACAATCGGCAAAACCGTCTTTTGGATGCTTAATTGAGAATCGTGTTCAAGAAGGCAATTCAGAGGCAGTGCTTTCAACATCTCTTCCAGGCTGGAAGTTTCTCACCAACTATGATCATCACCGACTCGGAAAAATTTGGGTATGTTGGTCAAATAATGTTAATGTTACTATCCTTTACAAAAGTGCTCAAATCATCACTGTTTGGGTGACTTCAGATACATGAGAGCAGTTCCTCTGTTCATGTGTGTATGCATCAAATTTTCAGGCTGAGCGACAGCGTCTCTGGTCTGACTTGATCCAAAATAGCGTTCAGTTTGCCTCGTCTGGGGTCCCTTGGATCGTTATGGGTGACTTTAATGAAATCCTCTCCTTTACTGAGCACTCCACTGGTGCTACAGTTCGGTGCCAAAGGGGTATGATAGCTTTTAAAGACACAGTCGCTGCGTGTAGTCTTACTGGCGTACCATCTCTTGGCTCGATGTTCACTTGGCTTAATAACCAAGCTGAAAACCCAATAGCTAAGAAACTCGATCGCGTCCTGGTCAATGATGCATGGATGCACCTGTTCTCCCAATCCTACGCCAGCTTTGAACCCTCTGGAATCTCTGATCATGCTCGGAGTAGAGTGTTCTTGGAAGCAACACCGATTGGGAGAAAGTTCCCATTCAAAATTTTCAAATTTCTTGTGGACCATCCAGACTTCCTTGCTTCAGTCTCAGATACGGGAAACCAAACTGAACCTATCTATCACTCTCGTTCGGCTCTTTATATTTTCAGCGAAAAGCTGAAGCTTCTGAAACCAGTTCTTCGTCATCTGAAAAAAAATAAGTTTTGGTGATATTCCACGGAAAACCAAGGAAGCTTTCCAGAACCTATGCGACAAGCAAGCGCAGGTTCTGTCTGACACAAGTTCTATCACGTTTGATGAGGTCTCTGAGGCCACAGAAACCTGGAATCACTGGGCAGTAATAGAGGAGCGTTTCTATCTTCAGAAATCTCGTATCACATGGCTCAAGTTTGGTGACCAGAACACAAACTTTTTTCATAAAATAGTTCAGAGAAGAACAACGTTTAATGCAATCCGGCGTCTGGTGTTAGCCTCTGGTGAAGTTATTACGGACCCTCAAGCAATTAAAACTGCAGCAGCCGATCACTTCGCCCGGTTTCTAAACCCCAATGTGGCCACATAATTTGTTGCTATGGGAGAGACTCTTACGAATCTGACTGAGTATCGCTGCCCTGCTCATACGGCTGAGTTACTGGTCCACCAAATTTCAGAAGCAGAGATAAAAAATGTGCTCTTCTCCATGCCGGAAAACAAAGCGCCGGGACCGGACGGTGACCCTGCTAAGTTCTATAAAGCTGCATGGCCTGTAATTGGTAATGAATTCATCAATGCAGTGCAATCTTTCTTTCTGTATGCTTTCTTCCGAAGGGTGTGAATGCCACGATTCTAACCCTCATCCCAAAGATTCAGGGTGCAGAGACCATGAAAGATTTTAGACCCATCTCCTGCTGTAATATCCTCTACAAGGTTGTATCTAAGATTCTGGACAATCGTTTGAAGGTATTGCTCCCAGAGTTGATAGAACCGAATCAATGTGCTTTTGTGAAAGGGAGACTCTTGCTGGAGAATGTCCTTTTAGCCACTGAACTTGTAAAAAACTATCACAAGGACTCGGTTGGGGCTCGCAGCGTCTTGAAACTAGATATATCAAAAGCCTTTGACACTGTCAAATGGTCTTTTATTGAGGATACTCTTTGGGCCATGCACATACCAGAGAAATTCATTCATTGGATACATGTATGTCTCTCCACTGCTGCATTTTCCGTCTCCGTCAATGGGGAACTAGAGGGCTTTTTCCCGAGTACCAGGGGTCTGAGACAAGGATGCGCCCTATCTCCGTATCTCTTTGTAATTGCCATTATTGTGCTCTCCCTTGCGTTAAACAAAGCTGCTGCTTCAGGAAATATTGGTTACCACCCTACATGTTCTTAACTCAATCTCACTCACCTGAGTTTTGCGAACGATGTCATGGTATTCACTGATGGCGAGGCTAGCTCCTTGCAAGGCATCTTCTCTGTTCTCAACGATTTTGAGAGCTGGTCGGGTCTTGCTAAAAGCCCAGCCAAATCGGCTATCTACATGGGAGGAAAAATTCACCAAGAGTTTCTTGATAAGGTGAATCGTCTAAACCTTCCCACTGATACTCTCCCAATACGTTATCTCGGCCTCCCCCTAACGACCAAATCAATGACGCGGGATGACTACGAGCCTCTTATTGATAGGATCCAAACTAAACTCCTGTCATGGACAAGTAGAGCCCTCTCATACGCTGGGCGACTGCAACTTATAAATTCGGTGGTTGGAAGCATTACGAATTTTTGGTGTTCTGTTTTCAGGTTACCGAAGCGTTGTCTTGAGACTATCGAGAGCATGTGTAGTGCTTTTCTCTGGCCTGGCTCGCCAAACTCCAGTAGGAAAGCGAAAGTGGCATGGGATGAAGTTTGTATGCCCAAGGAAGAGGCGGGCTTGGGTATTCGTCGGCTGGTTGATTCATGAAAAGTATTTTCCCTGAGTCTGATCTGGCGTCTTCTAACGAACTCAGGCTCCCTCTGGGTTGCCTGAACTCGTGTGAACCTGTTGCGTAATCGTTGTTTCTGGGATGTAAAGGACACTCAAGCAGGCTCTTTGATATGGCGAAAACTTCTGAAGCTCCCTCATCAAATATCTATCTTTCCCAAAACAGAAATTGGCAACGAAAAGAGCACTCTTTTTTGGTTTGATAATTGGTTGGATATGGGGAAATTAATTGATATTGCAGGTGACTCGGGTACTATGATCCTTGGTATCAACAGATATGCCACAGTTGCCGACGCCGCCTCATCTTGGCAATGGAACATTAGAAGATGTCGCAACTATCACCTACGGGCGATGATAACTGCCATCAACTCTGTTCAACCCCCGGTAGAGGAAGCAGAGTGCGATCGTGTGCAATGGAAGCATGGTGAGGACGACTATAAACCTTCGTTTTCAACTTCAAAAACATGGGATCAACTTCGGGTCCACAGGAATGGTGTGGAGTGGAGTAAAATAATATGGTTCTCGGAAGCAATACCACGGTTCTTGTTTATAGCGTGGTTAGCCGTGCGGAACAAGCTTTCAACAGGGGATCGAACCCGTGTGTGGGGTGAGATTCAGGTGTGCAGGCTATGTGGAGAACCTGATGAAACTCGTGACCACCTATTTTTTGCCGGTCCTTACTCCTTTACTGTTTGGACAGACTTGACTGGATGTCTCCTTCCTCGGCCGAGCCCTGATTGGAATATCACCATGAACACCCTGCTATCTCCTCGTCGTAACAAGGTTGACTCCTGTCTGCTTCGGCTGGTTTTCCAGGGATCAATCTACTCTCTGTGGAGAGAACGCAATGGTAGGAAACATGAAAACCCCTGGAACTCACCGGCTCAGCTTGTGAAGTTGCTAGACATGACCATCCGAAACAGAATCTCCTCCATCCGGTTCAGGAACCTCGAATTCAATAGCCTTCTCATGCAAAGATGGCTATGAATAAATTAAATTGTTGTATTGCTGCAGTGATTTAAGAACCTCAGTATTGTAAACATTTTTTTTCCTTTTGTTGATATATAAATTTAACATTTCAACAAAAAAAAACAATGATACAAAATAGAAATTAGTCTAATGGGACATAGTTACTATTTTTTTGGTCTAAAATTTTTTTTACCAATATAAAAAGGATCTAAACATGGAGGATCTTTAGAGTATATAACATGGTTGCAAACATCACAAGATAGAGTATTGCATATATTACATCATCAGCTTATTTGTAAAAAGCTCAACTGGTTACATAACATCAGCTCCTAAAGGATGTTAATTATTGGTAGATATCTCACAATCCTTATTTTCCACCTTGAAACCATGGATTTTTTTCTATGGTTTTAAAACCTTTCCCATGATCTCTTTAAGAGGCGCCAACTCTGCTTCATCAATCAACTGATACTCCTGCATGTTGCGAAACAACAAACTCACGTCATCATTTTTTACATCAACTATTATAACATTCAACATGTTCAAGTTCAAGGGAAGATTCATCACCTCACATATTTGAAGAAAACAAGATGTTTGATGCAACTGTTGAGAACTTCTTCCTTGAGATTCACAATCTCTTGAAAATGACAATGATAGATGTGTGCATAAACCCTAAACAACCTCTTCAAAATCACCTTCACCAAGTCCTTAAAGTTTGGTGGGAATGATACTTCTGAATAAGGATGAGAAATAAGAGTGTTACAAATTAAAAGCAATTTGATTAGATACGTTTAAAAACTATAAACAAGCTTGGCGGCTACCAGGTTTTCTGGGGAAAATGGTTTCATTATCGATCTGAGTTTCAATCCAGTCCATGAGATAGTTAAAGTATTCAGGAGCAGAAACCGCTATTGGCTTCTTTATAGCAAATCCCATCTGCCCATATATACTCATATCTGCAACCAAAAAGAGAAGAAGAAAGTGACCAAAGTTTTATGTATCAATTTGATGGATAAGAGTCATGGATGAAGGAGTGAGATACAAGGGTCCAGCGTTCATGATAGGACAAGTGATGGTTGTGCAGAACTCTTTAAGAGTAGAGTACAAAACGTTTACTTGGTTGTAAAATTCTATGGCTAAAACAAACCAAACATACAACATTAAAAAAAATTCAGATAATAAATAAATCAAGTTGGGATTATAAAAATGACTTATGTCTTAACTGTGAATGGCCAACCACTCGTTAATGTCTTTACCATAGGGTAGTTGCGCGACTTCTCTTAGGTTGCCACTCACCAAGTTTTACTTGATGTAATGCTGGGACAAAAAGCAACAATACCACCATCGATTCAACATGCTAAGTCAATGACTGACCTAATGATCACTTGAGCCACCAACAAATGGAGGGACACCACAAATATGTATATAGAAAAGGCACACCAACAAATCAAAGAGGATAGAGAAACCTGTCCAAAATGGAGGGACACCACAAAGAAGGATATAGAGGATGACTCCATGGCTAAGACATCGATCTCAAGTCCATAGTTTCGCCGACCTCTGGTGCCATGTAATAAGAACTTCCAACAATCTCATTAAACTGCTAACATGTTACAGTTTATCAAAAGTAAAGGTAAAGCAAATGTATACAAAATCTTCCCATTGATACTCATCAGTACTTGGTTTAAAGAAGACACATAATCCAAAATCAATAGCCTTAAGAGCTAATGTCTCTTTCTTATTTGCAAAAAGAAAGTTTTCTGGTTTAAGATCCCTATGCATCACTCCCTGCTTATGGCATACCTGAAAAGGACACACAAAGGGTGTGAGTCTGAGCAGAACACACATACACTGTAAACATAGTAAGCAACATGAACAACTTACACAATAGTCTTCAAAGCTGCAGCAGCATCCCTCTCAGTGTAATGTCCTCTAGCGACAATCCGATCAAACGATTCCCCTCCGTCATACAACTCCATAACTATATGAACCGCATCATCTAGTAGTTTTGAGGGTGTATCCGAGACATGAATCTCAACCAACAAACAAACAAACAAAAACATGTCTCAACATACACTCTTCATGTTAATAAACCACACGAGCTGTAGATAGGATATACTGAGCTAGACCAAAACATAGCCACTCAGATCAAGCAGTTCAAGGTTTGTGTAAATTGAGGAAATGGCGGCTACAGACGCATCAGTTATATCGATCCTAAGAATTAGCGAGAGCATTCTCAACCACCTGTACGATAAGGAAACTGACATCAATCTTAAGAAACAACTGTTCTCTCAATGGAACACTGAACTAAGAGTCCCAGAGAAGGAAAATGTGATTTTTACAAACAAAACCAAGACTGGAAACTAAGAGATTTTAGACAAACCTGAAATTCACAGCAGTAAGAGCAAGTTTAATACCTAGATTCACGAACAGTGACTATCCAAATCTTAGTTCGTCAACAATCCGATTTCGAACTACCAAGACGGATCTAAACTATAGCAGAAAAACTACCAGGTATCTTCTCGATTCTACGGGAAAATTAAAATCCAAAAAAATCAACGGATCCTAGGATTCTCAGAACTGCTACAAAGAATCGAATCGAGAAAAGAAGACTCACAACGTATCGGAATCTGAGTAACAAAAGATTCGGATTGATTTCACGAATCGGCTTGCTCGAGCTTCAGTGGAATCCGAGAGAATTGAAGATACAAGGAGATGATTCTTAGCCATGGAATCCGAGAGAATCGAAGAGAGAAGGAGATGATTCTTAGCTATTGAATCCATGGCTGTCGAAGAGAGAAGAAGATGATAGAGAGACGGCACGGAACAAAAGAGGCTTTAGGTTAGGGTATTTTTTATTTTTAAAAAGAAAAATTCATGGAAAAAAAAAACAACCAATGAAATTAAAAGATTTCCGTGAGAAGCTCTGTATGAGAGACATGTGTCAAGAAGTCACTAAAGTGAATTCTCTTTTAATAAATAGGGGGATTATTCTGAAGGATTCGAAACATCTTTTCTTTTACGTCAAATCCTTTTATATTGGTGAGTAAGTGCAAACGGCTTTTTCAAAGAAGAAGATTGTTTGAAAACCAATTACAAAACATGGAATATAAAAAAACCTCGTGTTTTTGGGTAACAAATCTCGTGTTTTTTGGTAACAAATCTCGTGTTGTAGCACTGCATGTAAGAAGATCATCATAGACATTATACAAAGGAAAATCTATAAAAATAGAAGAATATATTCTTTTATATTATCAGATGTTCACGACATCAACTTTATCATAAGTTATATATCGGCTAGTAACCTTAGAATATATGAATATATATATCGCTCAAGCATATCTAATATTAGATCCTCAAGCATTTATACAGAAAACGTCTTTGAAGACTTTCTCTCATCATCTTTAATTGTCAACAAGAGAGACCACGGGTTATACTTGTAGATCCAACATATTATCATGAATTTTTTATATCTCAATTTCTTCATCTTCTATTGGAGGTTATAGATAATGATGAGTATTATTAGGAGATAATGATGTAAAGTAGAGCTGAGAGTTATCTTAACCAAAGTCGGTTGAGATCGAGTTCTATATATAACACTGTACGTGAATGAATAAGGGTAAGCAATTCAGTTCTAAATATTTACATGATATCAGAGCAGAGATCACAATAAATCTTCTTTTGATTTCTGATTTTCTAAAGTTTTCGTCATGAGTAGTGATAACGACGAAGATAAGAAACTGATGGGGAAACAAAAGGTAACGATATCGTCGCCCTATTCTTTGTTCTCATCGGACAATCAAGGCGCGTTAATAACATCTGTTCAATTAAAGCGAGACAATTACAGTGAATGGCCTACGGAGATGGAGAATGCACTCATAGCAAAGAAGAACATGGGTTTCATTGATGGAACCTTTCCTAAACCTGCTCAAGATAGCTCAGATCTGGAATCATGGTTAAGTGTCAACTCAATGATTGTGGGTTGGATCAGAACCTCTATAGAACCGAAGGTCAGGTCTACTGTGACATTTATCACCAAATCTCAAAAGCTTTGGGAGAATTTGAAGAAACGTTTTGAAGTGGGGAACAAGGTACGAGTACACCAATTGATGGAGCAATTAGCCTCATGTAGGAAAAACGGTCAACCAGTAATAGATTACTACGGTCGCTTGGCCGTGATGTGGGAGGAGCTACAGATGTATAAACCCCCTCCTGCTTACAGTTGCGCAGCGGCTGGCATGTATGAGAAGGAAAGAGAGGATGAAAGAGTTCATCACTTTATTATGGGTTTTGATGATGTAAGATTTGGTAATGTCGTGACAGCGATCATTGAAGCTGACGAGTTGCCGGATCTGTCTAAATTTTATGCTAAAGTTATCAGAGAAGAAGCTAGGTTGAAGTCGGCTAAATCTCGTGAAATTGTTCAACAAGATGCGATCAGTTTTATTTCTCAAAGAGGAACACAAGGCGAACATGATTCTACGTATGTGGGGACACTTGCAAGAACTGATAGTGCAAGTAATGAAGGATATGGAAACATAGCTAGAGATTGCGTGTGTTCAAACTGTGGCAAAACTGGTCACGAGAAGAATAATTGTTGGCAATTAATTGGTTATGCAGAATGGATGAATGAAAGGCAAGGTAAGGGTTCAGGAACAGGACGAGGTAGCAGCACAGGGCCTGGTAGGGGGAGTGGCCGTGGTACTGCACAAGCAGCTCATGCAACAAGTTCACATGGAGCTGGAGCCTCTGACCTTACACCGGAGCACTGGAGAGCTATCACTCAAACCATAAACAAGGGAAAGTCAAGTTCTCATTCTGAAAAATTATATGGTAAGAAGCTTGGAGACGTGATCATAGATTCGGGGGCTTCTCATCACATGACAGGCGACTTGTCTTTACTTGTCAATGTGAAAGAAACCCCACCGTGTGTTGTTGGATTTGTAGACGGTGGAAGATCCACTTCGGTACAATTGGGTGATATGATTCTAACAGATCGTATTTCACTTAAGGATGTTCTTTTTGTGCCAAAGTTAAATTGTACTCTGATATCGGTGTCAAAGTTTTTTGAAATACTCTAATTGTTTTGCCTTGTTCACGGATACTATTTGTGTATTGCAGGACCGTTCTTCAAAGACTCTGATTGGAGCCGATGAAGAACGTGATGGGGTTTATTTCTTTACAGATGTGAGAGTGGCTGAAGCTAATAGAGTTGTGGGAAGTGACAATCAGCTCTTGTGTCATAGGCGACTTGGACATCCGGCTTTTGTTATTTCATCTTCTTTATCTATTTTACCTAGTGTTATGAATAAAGCTTGCTTGAGTCCTTGTGACGTGTGTTTTCGAGCAAAGCAAACTAGAGATGTTTTTGTTGACACTATTAATAAAACAACCAAGTGTTTTGAACTCATTGATGTGCATGTGTGGGGACCTTATCGTGTTCCTTCGTCGTGTGGAGCAATGTACTTTCTCACGATAGTTGATGATTTTTCTACAGCAGTGTGGACCTATTTGTTACTTGCAAAATCAGAAGTAAATAATGTACTAAAAATGTTATGTACTGATGCTGAGAAACAATTTGGTCAAGAAGTTCAAATGGTTCATAGTGACAATGGAATGAAATTTATGTGTTTGGGAGAGTATTTTCAGGACAAGGGTATTTTTCACCAAATAAGTTGTGTCGACACGCCTTAACAAAATGGGTGTGTGGAGAGGAAGCATAGACATATTTTGAATGTGGCAAGGTCGTTGTTGTTTCAGTCCAAGTTACCGGTGAATTTTTGGGGAGAGGCAATATCGACTGCATCACACCTTATCAACTTGACTTCGAAAGCAATATTGAAAGGAAGGTCACCACATGAAGTTTTTTTTGGCAAGAAGTCATCATATGATTATTTGTGAGTGTTTGGCTCATTGTGTTATGTCCATAAACGTGATAGAAGTAAAGACAAATTTGGAGAACAAAGTAGCCGTTGTGTATTTGTGGGATATCCGTTTGGGAAGAAAGCATGGAGAGCTTATGACATCGAGAAGAATGAGTTTTTGGTGTCACGAGATGTAAGTTTTACAGAGGAGGTGTTTCCATTTGGTGAAAAGAAGGACGAAGATCTTAGTAACATGCAGTTGTCATAAGTACATG